GACGGACCCAACTGATACGTCTACCCAATTTCACTCAAGTCTTGGGCCTACCCGTGATGTCGTTTTCAGGCATTTTTTCCAAAGGCGCCACACGCTGGGATCGACCGCTTCAGTCTGATAACATCAGGACAAATCGATCATGCTGAGATTCGAACCCTCGTCTCATGGTCAGAATCCGAACGATCTAACCACTCGGCCACGTGGCCATTAGCCAAAACAGTGTATCCTAAAAAAATACTTTATAACTGCTCTTATTATAATGTAGTTCTGAACGTGTTACGTTTTGATATAAGTTGTTAATAAAAGTCGAATCGTACAGGATGATTAGTGAGATAGCAAAATGTGGCTGCTCTTTAGTCTTTCTATTGTTGTTCATTGGTTATATATCTTCCTTGTCGATATTTCACTCGGCGATCGTCTATTTTCCCCTAATATCCTAAAACGCAATATTTATGGGGTATGATTTAAGAGCTTAAACACAAATTTCGTAATGCTTGAATTAAAATGCCTAGAGATAGTTTGTGCGTAAAGTATCGATGTAAACGATTGCCAATGTTCAGGTGTTCATGCATTCGTTATTGATAGAATTGTAATGTGTAACCTGTCAAACATTTTCTGCTTAAAATTGTTTAACAAAATAGGTGAAGAGAATGAATCTTAATGTATTGGTCATAGTTATTTTTACAAAAATTGCATATGGCTTCCTCATTGCATTTTTCACTCTAAACAAATGGCTTGACGATCACATGAAACATCGCGTCACTTTGCAAAGCCCAGGTAAAGAAACATTAACTTCAGTATTTCTGACTCTTAGGCGAGTTGTGACATATGTGTATAGCATCTACATGATTTGAACCAGACTTGAAACACAAGACAATTTCAACCAACAAAATGACTCTTCCGTTCATGTAACTCACAAAGGACATCGAGATATGCTACGCAACGCCTTAACAAGCGAACTATGCAAATAGTATTATGTGATAAACTATAATTTACACTGATTTTCCTTAATCTTGACTATAATAACATGCATGAATTTAGTAATATAATCGCATCTTTAGTCAAATCATTTGAGACATTTCAAGAACACCTAGACAGATATCCCTGCTTTTGAAAAGATTGTTAAAAAAGAAAAGAAAAGTTACCTAGTAGTGGGGAGAATACTAGAAGTTACCAAAGACAATATAAAAAGTATTTAATTCTCTTAGAAACCACTGTTTCTGGAAAGCTGAAGACGAAATTAAGAAAGCCAAATAAAACTATACGTTGTAATGTGGAGAAAAATGGCGATAAGATAAAATCGAAAACAAACCAGATGTTAATGATCTAGTTTTAAAAAAAAAAGTCACATTTCAATCCTGAGCACGCTAAACTGAAAATACTAACGAAAATAGAATTTAGAACTCGGCACCAAACCGTTAATCGCTTTAATTAACCAGGTTAACATTTTCGCCAACGATTCAACCCCGAGGCCAACTTAGAACGTCGTCATGAAATCTCAAAAAACATCAATCTGTTGATATCGTCGAAGTTAAAACTGTCAGAGCTACTCAGCAGGAACAGAGCCAGAACTTAATGTTAACGGTTTATCGATAACTCCCTTTACATTTTTAAAGAGCTAACCGATCAACGGTTAACAAAGTTAATTTTTTGATTAACACTGTCCACCTGTGATGATTCTCAAAGTCAACTTAAAAGTCAAATCGCCAGTGAAAATGACAACTTCGCTAAACGTTTGGCGCCCTGCTCTGCGCACCAGTATCATTAGAAAATCTGTCTCCACTTGTAAAAATAAGGAACCTATTGAATGAAGAAAATCTATTAAAAAAAAAAAACTAAAAAATATTATTAACTAGCAGTAGAGCCCGGCGTTGCCCTGGGATGTAACAGTAAGAGATAGATCAAGTATCCACCATCATAAAGACTGAAAAATAAAATTGACAAAGATTATTGTTTAAGGTTGACGGACACGCATGTCTTAATTAGTTTTTTTGTTTTGTTTTGTGTTTTTTTTTTGTTTTGTTTTTTACGAATTGGTCAAACTCAAACAAAAACATTGTTTTCAATCGTTATGAGTCTACCGATTGAATAGAATTTTATTATAAACAATTGTCTTGTAAATGGAATTTTTAAAGCATTCTGAATGTAAAAATAAAGAAAAAAGTGTGCAAGACAATAAGAAACACTACCTGCCAAAAAAATCAAGGGTTTTGTTGAAATCGGTTGAAAAATGTAGGAAATCCAATCCCATATATAAATGAACACACACACACCCAACCAACCAACCTGGGTTTTATAATAAGTATAACTCTATATGAGTTGTCTCCCTTTCATTAATGCCTCTTAATCGTGTTTTCAAATTGATTTCGTGCAAAAACAATTGTGTTTTTTCCAATTTTTGGCGCTGTCAGAACCACCGCAACTAATTTTTCGTAGTCCTGTGAAGTTTTCTTGAAAAATGTAGGAAATCCGATCCAATATATAAACGTATAGACACACACACACAATCTGCGTTTTATAATAAGTAAGATTAGGCTGAATTTAAAAAAAAAAAATAGAATCTCTCCTAATATGAACGTGTGTGTATGTATATATATATATATATAATTTGTGTGTGTTAGTATGATATAGAATCCGAACAAATGTGAAGAAATCAAAGTAGAAATAATTTATTGACAACGCGTTTCGACTTGGTTAGATACTTAAATTCTTTCTCGACATATTCACTTTCGACTGTTTAGATTAAAACATTAATGCCTATCTACTAGGTTGCAGTCTTTCGGTCGGAATAAAACAACAAAATTGCGTCTTTCTTTTTATTCATCTTTTCCTGTATTAAATTCGGTAATGCCTGTTTGTTATCCCCCCTCCCCACAAAAAAAAAAGTCCTGTTCTTTCATTCTGACCGAAAGACGCCAACATAGCAAACGAATATTAACGGTTTTAATAAACATTAATACACACACAGTTTTCTTTCTTGCCATAAGACGCTTACTTAACTACCTGACGAAGGCGAATGGCCTTGTCTATATCGTTTGTTTTGATTTAAAAGGCATTAATACGTTTTACTTTTGAACCCGTTCTTTTTTTTTTATAATCTAAACTTAAATTTAGTAGGCATTCATGCTTCAAGAGACATGATTTAAAAAAAAAAAAAACTTTATGAATTACCTCTACAGAATTGAACATTAGAGAGGCTAAATAAAGAAAAATCTGTTCTCTGGCAGGGTTTGAACCTGTGTCCCTCTCTTTAAAGCGATCGGTCAGAGAATTTTACAGCTCACTTATTTCGAATTATCCGTCGTAGATCACATTTTCTTTAAGTTTGTCGAATATACAGACCGGTAGACATTATTCACGCTATATATATATATATATATATATATATATATATATATATATATATATAATATATATATATATATATATATAAAAAAAAGTAAGATATATAATCCGGTGTTCTTATAGATATTTTTATTTTACAAAATAGAGCTCGAAGTAAATTTATAGAGCATTAACATTATAAATTAATTGATTTAAAATGTTTTTTTTCCGCTACACAGTTCTAACCATGGTTAGAACTGTGTAGCGAAAAAAAAAAACAGGTTTTAAATCAATTAATTTATAATATATAAGAAAGCACTGGACGGTCATTTCGTCGTATTTTTGGAACTCATCAGCAGTGTGCATCCACGACGGAAAATTGAACCCGGGCCGTTACGGTATGACGCAAGCGTTACGCCCACCGGGCCAACGATTTGTTACCTCTTCGTCACCAAAACACGTTGGTCCAGTGGGTATGATACTTGCGTCATATCGTAACGGTTCTGGTTCGATACCCGATTGCGGGTGCGCACTATTGATGAGTCCCAAAATAGGACGAAACGGCCATCCAGTGCTTTCTTTATTCTGTTGAAGATTCTTCTAGTTTCGATAATTGATTGTTTATTCAGATACCATATATATATATATATATATATATATATATATATATATATATATAGGTCCCTCCCCACCCTCCGAGAATATATGGTATATTGAGGATTGATTAGCGATGGGTGATTTTTTTGTAGTCAATGTGTCAATTGTAAAGAATGAATGGGTCATGAATCGGATTAGCTAGGTATAGGATAGTAAGTGACGACCAGCCTCAATCCTATTCCCCACTTTTTTGGCCTTGTGCCACAATTGTATATTTTACGCACTAAATCTTAACAAGAGAAACTCCGGGAATATTCAGTATATCAGGTACCATATATGCTGAAGCATTTCCTAATTAGATGTGGCGATTTTGTTTGCACACCGAAACAATTTCTTTTATAGTGTCAGCAGCATTGGGGGTAGAGCCTATAAACCAACGTCAATGTTGTGGGCCTATAACACTGTGCAATAAAATGTAGTCTTCGTCACTACGCATTATTTCCTAATTGCTCCTAACGAGAAAGCAAAGGAAATAATTATTTCCTTAAGACTTTGCCTTTGTGATCTGGCGTCGATGTTTGGAAACTAACCTATTTTCCATTACACTCCAGACAGATTCAGCGCTGAATTAATGAAGGGAATTTTTCTAGAATTTTCAACACCGTTCCAGAAAATTATAAAGGTCTTAAGAATTTTTACAACATTCTGGCTACCATGGAACGAAAACATGAGCGACTATATTTGTCGGCTAATTCGTAAAATTTACAAAATAAGCGTAAATCGTGAAAAACTACTCTCTTCTAAAAATCTCTCTTGTGTAACCCCGAAATAGGGAAATGCTATTTTTGAATCGTATGTCATTTTGTTCCTACTTTACGTGAGCGGGAATGTTGATATTCGCTAGTTTTCCCAAAGGATTAGGTTAACATCAGAAGTATAATTATCTGGTCACAAAAGCAAAGTTTGAAGGAAATATTAGTTATTTCTCCTACTAGGCGTTAGCGAATAGGAATAACTGTTGGTACCAAGGACAAAGATCGTGTTACACAATGTAATATCTTGAGTGAACCTGTGATTAGATGTTCCTGACACTGTGAGCACAAGATAGATAACCTTGATGATAATTAATACTGACTGTCTAACGTGTAAGAATGTTGTAAGTTGCATATTTCATTTCTGAATCATAAATTAAGAGTTAAAAATAAAAGGATTTACGAATGACCCAGTGAAGGTTGACATGTCTACTGAAATTTTCAGAATTCTTTTTTTTTTTTATTTTCTTATTAGTTTTTGTAATGCCGTTGTCTGAATGGTTTTGTTTTTTTTTCCTCTGATTTCCATTTCTATTTGATAACTGTTCCAAAAGCTCGGATATTTATGATCATTCCATTTTTTATTATTTCTGTTTTGAGTTGTAAAGTCCACAAATTCTTCCAGATTTCCTTTCGTTTCCACGAAAGTTGACAGGTCGTCTTTTCTTTTTGTCCAAGCTGGTATTATTAGTAATGTTAATTTCCTTTCTACGTTTTCTCCCCCCACCGTCTCTTTAACCTCTTCCCTAACCCATCAATTGACATCTTCTCCCTCGTCTCGTTAGCCACTCCTTCCTCCGTCTCGTTAGCCACTCCTTCCCCCGTCTCGTTAGCCACTCCTTCCCCCGTCTCGTTAGCCAGTCCTTCCCCCGTCTCGTTAACCAGTCCTTCCCCCGTCTCGTTAACCAGTCCTTCCCCCTGTCTCGTTAACCAGTCCTTCCCCCCCCTCGTTAACCAGTCCTTCCCCGTCTCGTTAACCAGTCCTTCCCCCGTCTCGTTATCCAGTCCTTCCCCCGTCTCGTTAACCACTCCTTCCCCGTCTCGTTAACCACTCCTTCCCCCGTCTCGTTAACCACTTCCCTACCACATCAATTGACCTCTTCCCCCCCCCTTCTCGTTAACCACTCCCTCCGCCCCCCTTCTCGTTAACCACTCCCTCCGCCCCCCTTCTCGTTAACCACTCCCTCCGTCCCCCCTTCTCGTTAACCACTCCCTCCGCCCCCCTCGTTAACCACTTCTTCGTTAACCACTCCCTCCGCCCCCCTTCTCGTTAACCACTCCCTCCGCCCCCCCTCTCTCGTTAAGCTTTTCATCTCTGTTTTTAACCTCTCCCCCGTCTATATCAGTCATCGGCTATTTCACCGACACTCTTTGCACCTCCCCTATAATCATTCTTATTTCGTCTTTTTTATGGTTCTTCTCGTTCATTCTCGTATCTTTTTTTCTCTCATCAGAGTAACTTTTTCCTTTCTTTCTGATTCTTATTGATTTTTTTCTTTAATTTTCTTTTGTTCTTTTTACTATTCGTTCGGTAAATGTTTATCGAAACCATACGGCGAGAAAGGAAATTAAGTGCTCCGCTTGCCACTGATTCCCTTTCATTCAATTCAGCTGTCAGTCAACAAATAAAGACGCGTCGCTGAGTTGTCTGCACAAATAATATTTTTGCATGCTGCTTGAGTTTGAACTTGATTCACTCCAATGTCACTTTGTCCGCAACATATTGGTCATAGGTCTGCCTAAAATTGTAGCATTAATTTACTGGTATAGTGATTTTGATTAACTGATGAAATGACGTTTCGGGGGTCGCTCTAAATTACATCAGTATTGTCAAAGATTATTGTTAGAAAACGTTTCTGCTTGAGTTCGTTATACATTGGATTAGACACTTGTTAATATAAAAGTTTAAACTTTTCTTTATTTTAGCGTTTGTACACAAATGAAGGAATATATTCAAGGGATGCAGAAAGTTTCTCAACCTGATTAAGACAGTACTTCAAACATTTAAATGTGATATTTAATCAGAACTCGGGAAGTGTACCAAGGCCGGATATCTTTTTTTCAGCACCAAACTACATGGAAAATGTTTTTTAAGGATTTGAGAAATTTACTTTAAATAAAAATTGTAAGATCAAAATTCTAAGATCAAAATTCTGCGAAGCATAATGAGGACAGTGAGCTTGGAGAATTAAACACTCACCGGACATACTGGCTGTAAAACAAAAAAAAGCATTGGGAAATAGTGAGTAAATTAAATAACATGTCTGAACAGTAAATATTCAAAAATTACTTTGGGCAACAAAATAAAGGACGTGGTGGAGAGCTATGGTTTGATTGCCGCTCAACTAAACGTATTCACGAAATACTTATGAGTAACAATTATCGCCCTCTCCATCACTCCAAATATATATATATATATATATATATATATATATATATATATATATGAGAGAGTGACTATTTATAATACACTTGAACTCTGGTTTGAACAATAAGAATGTATAATTACTCTCTAACAGAAACATATTGTTGAAATCGATTATAAACGAAAATGGTCTGTTCATCTTTAATTAATCATAGCTAAGGTTCGGAAGCTCATGAAATAATGTCCATATATATGTATAATTCCAGTATTACTTCTAAATTATTCCAACTGATTTTCGCCCCACCTCAAAGTTATAACTTTGTGCTGGAGTGACAATTTCCTTCACAGCTTTCACGTATAATTTAATTCTTAGGTCTTTTTTCACTGCTCCTTGGACTGCCATAGCTGAAATGTCTTATGGATTGAGTTAGATCTTTTATTTGCTGGTTCCCAGACGTCATGAGTTCCAGCGCCTTACGAGGCTGGCATCCCGCTCTCACACTTTCACTGTCGAAACTCCTAAATGTAACCGTCTCTTCTACTCTAATAGCTTCATGTCTCGCACCTCTCGCCTGTGGAACTCCCTTCCCTATTCCTGTTTCCCTGTGAGCTATAATCTGCAGCTATTCAAGTGTAACGTCAATCGACATATCCAGTTGCCTTGATCTATCCACTACCCTCATCCTTTCTTCTATCACTCCTATCTGATCTTGCTCAAAATTTTCTGTAACCCGTTGCGTCCTAGTGGCTTCCCGCCTTGCTTGGGGTGAAATGCTTAAAAAAAAAATTGATCTTTCACTATAAATTGAAATGATGAACCCTCTTTATGTTCTGATATCCTGATCTAGTTTTCTTCACTACTGTTCTTTCTCTTTAAAACTTATTCCCTGTTCTCTTGATGGTTCTTGAATGGTATTTGAAGATGGAAGCCAAAGTATGAATATTGCTATAATTATTGAAGGCCTGAATGTTCTTGTTCCTTTCACCTTATCTGGGAAGACTGAGGCTGACAAAACTATTTTATTTTTTTTTTCTTAGATGAATAACTCGAAGGACTTATCAGTGACTCGTACGACAAATGGTGCCAAAATGGTTAAACGTCTTATCTGAAAACATGAAAAAAAAAAAGAAATTCAATTACTTAAGTGTGCTTTAAATATTAAACATTTTATGTGATGTACATTTTTACTGTTAAATGATTTAGACAAAAGTTTAGGAAGGAATGCTGTCATCATTACTGGAGAAACATCGACCTGAAAATTTGTTTTAATGGAAAGATATACATTTTGACAGAAAGTAACAGTGGCTGCTCAGACAATGAATGATCAAAGTTTCCTTTATACATAAATGTTATATTATGCACTTATACAAATCCATACAGGCTTGACTATAATGACGGCACTGAAAATATCCTGGCACATTTCAAATGAAACATTTGAAGATTATTAGCTGCGTGTCTGTTCGGATACAAATAGTGCTTTGGAATATAACTAAGATTTTCTTTACTTACACTATTTACATTGTTCAGAAAGTTGTCCACGTCTTTATTGTTTTATTCATGAAGTTTTGGCTGTTGTACGCTCCGACTTTCTTCCAGTTGGTACGTTGTTATTTTTTTGCTTTATTTATTTATTTTTTTTCGCTTTGTTTTTCTTTTGCTTTGTTTTTTTTTTTTTTTTTTTTTTTTTGCTTCGCTTCTCGTTTTTTTTGTGTTTTTTGCTTTGTTTTTTTTGCTTTGTTTTTTGCTTTGTTTTTTTTTGCTTTGTTTTTTGCTTTGTTTTTTTTGCTTTGTTTTTTGCTTTGTTTTTTTTTTTGTTTTTTGCTTTGTTTTTTTTTTTTTGTTTTTTTGCTTTGTTTTTTTTTTGTTTTTTGCTTTGTTTTTTTTTGTTTTTGTTTTTTGCTTTGTTTTTTTAGTTTTTGTTTTTTGCTTTGTTTTTTTTTTTTTTTTTTGCTTTGTTTTGGGTTTTTTTTTTTTTTTGTTGCTTTGTTTTTTTAATTTTGTTTGGTTTTTTGCTTTGGTTTTGGTTTTTGTTTGGTTTTTGCTTTGTTTTTTTTTTTTTGGGTGCTTTGTTTTTTTTATACTTCTGCTTTTTTTTTGCCAATTTTTTTTTTTGCTTTGGGTTTGGAGTTTTGCTATGTTTTTGCTCCATAGCTTTCGTTGTCTGCTTTTCATTTCTGTCTTTACTTAGTTGTCTTTTCCTATCTTTTTCTTTTTTCTCTTTTCTTTTAATGGTTACGCGAGACTTCTCGTTGATTTGCGTGACTTTCCTCTGTATAATATTTATAGATAAACGTGATTTACTTTTAGCTAGCTTCTGTTTAGTTAGTAATGGCCTTTCATTTGCTGACTTTTGCACGACATTAATCCCGTCTTTATTTCCCTATAATAACACTCACCCACCTCATTATTCATTCTAGAAAACGAAGCAATATTCATTACGAAAGTGACAGTCTTTATTAGGCACAGATAACACGAGCTACCATCCGAACAGACGCTAAAATTAAAGATGACAATAGTCGATTGATGTGTGAAACCTGCAACGAAAAAATAATGGTCTGATTATCTGGTAAAATAGTTGTTCTTTAACAATTCATGGCAGTAGGAATGAGCAATCACTTCGCTCAACTTGTGAATTTGTTGGCCTTTTCTGCAGTGGATGACGATCAGTCTTGTTTCAAGTGTTTTTCCTTATTTCATTCCTTTCTCTTGAGGATAAATTAACATTTTGGAGCATTATTTATTGAAATGTATTTCTGTTCCTACGTTAATGGAATTATTTATTTGTGAAAGAAGGCAAATTTTAATTTAAATTTATTTTCAAATCATATTAATATATGTACTTATTAATGATCTGTCATGTTTGTTCAGGAGTTTAGTGATTATAGCTATCCAAAACTTCCTGTCATTTTGTAACTCAAATAATTTTGTTTATTTGCCCTCCAAAATTTTTCCCTACGCTGGGACCCACCCACACACATTTACTAGGCAAGTTGTTCATCCTTTTCTTCTACCCATCCTCTTAAAACAATAGTGAGTGTTAAATACCCCAAGCTGTCCTTTCCCATAATGTCTTCCTGAAGTTCTTTTCTGATTTTAAATAAGAATGTTATTTACTCATGTATTATTTGATGAATTCACCCCAAGCAAAGTGATAATTGTCAATATGATGCAAAGGGTTACTGGGAGTGAAAAGGAATGGAAAGTTTTTTTAGAAAGAAACCGGCAACCCAATACTAAACAGGAAGCAATGAATAAACCTCTACTCTCATTCAAAAGGTCGGAGGAGTGTGAACAGGACGATAGGCGAACCTATCTATTCCAGTTGAGGGTAGAGACAAAAATAGTAAATATAATTTCAGCGTGCAGACTGAGATGCTAGCAGAATAGATTTGAATAGGCTTTAGCAGGAAGCAGAAGTTCATATAAACAGGGAACAAAGGATAAACCTGTAGTCCTATTCAAATATAGTATTTTGGGTAGCTGAGGATGGATATCGTGTTTCAAGATTTTAGCTTGTTTTCTCTTTTAGCTTGCTTTCTCTTTCCCACGTATTGCTTTTACTTGATTTTTGTTTTTTAATGTTGCTTCTCGCGTCTTTGAAACATCTTACCCCATTGTTTCTTCATGCACGTTGTTTTATCTTGTATCGCGTTTATGTGCTTTGACTAATTACGGGTTGAACTATTGTTAAACTAAAAAAAAAACAAACAAACTAGTGTCACAATGATCTGGGTGGGTACCTTGAAAACCAATGCTACAACGTAAGCAACACAAAATCTAGAGTTTTCGTGAATGAAAATTGAACAATGTTTTGGGGTAGTCCGAAATTATTTTCGTTATATAAACATTCATAGTAAGAATGAAATAAAATGGAATAAAGAAGATAGCAAAATAGTTAAAAAAAAAAATCATTCGGCAATAATTCGGAAATCGATAATCCTCATACAATACTGGCCAAGATGTTATGCTTATGAAATATCTACTACGGAAAAGTAGATAATAAATGCAGTTTTTTTCAGACAATTTGAAACTGCGGGATATTATTCATGTCATAAGATGAATGAATGTATTGACTGTATTTTTCTCCCCCTCAGAGACAGGTCTTTCTCTCATATATTGTTATATACCGTACCGTAACATTAATAACTGTCCGAATCCTCATAAGTACGTCGGACACTATTGTAAGTGGGGGGAGGGTAATATGTTCTCTAAGTAGTCCACCACAAGCAGTGGTTTACCTACTTCACACCGCTGGCGAGTATTGTATTTTGTTGATGTTATAAAGATTACCATTTCATTTCCAGCCTCCATTTTGGTTATTCTTTCAGTAACCTTTCCTAGGTTATAATATATATATATATATATATATATATATATATATATATATATACACACACACACACATACACGTGGGGTCCTCGACTTAATATAGAGTTCCTTTCATACGATTCTTCGAGACGTAACTGCGATTTTTCTCAAATAAGCAGTTACGTCACTTACCTATGCTAACGCTTCAGTAAAGCAATGATCTATGATGTAACACTTGTCTATGATGTACTTAGGTCAAAACACATTTCTGTCATATCGGTTAACATAATTAGGAATGAAAAAATATATATATATATATAATATATATATATAATGTATTGCGTATGTATTAGGCAAGCGGCATAAGTCGAAAAAAGATTAATGGAGATTGCATTGTAACCACTCGGGACAATCGTGACACGGGTGTCTGTGGTGCTTATATATATATATATATATATATATAGTGTGAGGGATAGCGATATATGTAGAATAGGCTCATGAGATTTTGATGACGGCCAATCTTACGAAGAACGTGCACATCCATGGGTCCATACAATAAAATACTTTATTTTGTCACAACAAAAAATCTAGATTACCCTGTGAGGATCAGACGTACCCAGGTAGTAAAAATCATTGAAATTCGTAGGTTAATTATTGCGCCAGAGAAAGATCCTTTTTAATTACTAAGTTTGGTTCGGTCTATCCAAATGCCAAAAACTTAGGACGGAAAATAGGTTTTGTTTACAAGAGAAGTATAAAAAAATTGTACAATTGTTGAAAGCCTGGGTTTATTAACTTTATTTTGTAAGTAGAGTATTAGTAACTGGAATATTACAGGATTTCCCAGTTATGACTGCTATGCTAACAGTTGTTCTCAATTATCCGAAAAGAAAAAACAATAAAAAAAAACATCGTGTAAATGTTCTGTTAATTGGTCGCCTACGCCGAGACATGCTGCTAGTCATGCACCAATCTTAGCTTTTACCTGCAGAAGGAAAACATGTGACGCTAATTGTGTAGAGTATTCACTGCAATCGGAATAATCTGTCGCGCATTCCTCATATTGCCGAAAAAGTGTCGGTTCTAAGGGAAGCTCTACTCTTGAAAGACATACGAGGGGAGATTATCGAAGCATATAGACATAAATATAGAATACATCGATGGTACTATTTTAATGGTAGTCTTAGATAGAAAACGGAAAGAACTCTAAGAACGTAGTAATGGAAAGCGTGGAAAAAAAAGGACTAAATATTAACAGTATAAGTCAACCGTTGTCGGGATCATCACCTCAGTGTCAATGATATTTCCCTTAGCTGCATCGTATATGCTCCACCAGAGCTGCAGTTTTGAATTCAGTTTTCCTTCTCCTAGACTGCTTGCCACCCATGACTATAGAACTAAATCTGTCGTACTATTTACTCATAGCTGGGGTAGCAGACTTGGATTCATTCCCTGCCCAAAGTTAGCACATAAGTAAATGAAATGAACTCGACTGGAATATTAACTATACGAGGCCAGGATATTAGTGATTTATTAGCGGCGAAAGAACTTTAAATATGAGATGTCTATTAGCTTATGAAGGAAAATTGAGCGCATAGGAGTGGCGAAATATGACTTCCATAAATTAAGCAAAACAAGAAAATATAGGAAAATCTCTCTAGCAGTTCAGCTCTTTGATTCTATGTAATATTTAATTTAAGATGATAGAAAATGCAGGCAGATCTACTCGCAGATAAAAACTGGTCATGAAGCAAGAACGTGGCTGTACCAATGAATGTCAAGGATAACGCCAGAAGAATCAGTAAGCACGGCCGGAGCAAACGTCTCGTGGGCCCCCACCAAATCTTTGAAACCGGGCCCCCACCAAATCTTTGAAACCGGGCCCCCACCAAATCTTTGAAACCGGGCCCCCACCAAATCTTTGAAACCGGGCCCCCACCAAATCTTTGAAACCGGGCCCCCACCAAATCTTTGAAACCGGGCCCCCAAATTACTACATCTCAATTTTTATGAGGTAATATTCATATAAAATACACGTTTTTGCAACTTAATTATGTACATTTATGGATCATATGCAATATAGTGTAATAATTCGAGTAGAAAATTGATAATAAATGAAATTTATCTAAATACAAATTATAAACATGTCATAACAGATCATTCCGTTTTAAATAACTTAACAATGTTTGGCTGCAGTTTTTAGCATCAACTTGAGATTTATCTTGTTAAAAAGTTGGATAATTTTAACACATATAGCAATATGGATAAAATTAGTAAATTTTATTTATTTTTTTTTTTTTTTCGAGTCGTCGCAGATAAAAACAAATTCACATTAAAAATTAAGACTCCCCCCAAATGGCAAATTAAAAAAAAATTCAAATTATTTTTTCGAGTCTTCTCAGATCAGAACAAATTCATATTAAAAAAAAAAAAAGAACCCCCCCACCCCGAAATGACGTTAAAATCCGAAAATCTTTCATCTTTTAAGTTATTTGTGCTTAGTATAATTTGTAACGTACATAAATGTGGGCAGAAAAAAGATGTTAAAAATAGCGAAATTCACAAAGCCCTGCGCCCCCGGGGGTGGGGGTAGTGGGTAGTACGCACCAGCCCTGCCTCTGAGCAATGTTGAAATTTTACGGAACTTAGTGATGACAAGGAAACGGGTATCTACAGGCGAAATAAAAACATCTGAACATTCTGGGACACAATGAGAAAATGTCTTTGAAAAGGTGCACATTCCCTGGGCTTATTGGATGTAAAGGAAGCAAGGCGGAAACTGCGAGTAACTTTCAGGTTTTGTGGGAATGTATAAACAAAGGCAAAGATAATAAAGGGGGCTCTCCTTCCGGAAGGACGTGACAGGGGAGGAGGTTTTTCTCGTCGGAATAGATGCTGCAGATGTAGTAGTATCTGTTCCGTTCTGGAAGCCTTCTCTCCTCACTTGCATTGCCAAAACCTAA